CAAGGACGCGGACGTGGACGAAGACGAAGACAACGATGGAATGAGCGAGGACTGAGTGGGGGACGGCGAGTACGCCAGACGTGGCGTGGCGTGGAACACGTGATCGTGGGGACTCGGATGGGAATGCCGAGAATGGGAGAAATGTGGCCGTATTTATTCAAGAGTCAGTGTCCGTAGACTTTGACTCCGCGTCCAGAGCCGTAGTAATGAGAGAAAAAAAATGCACACAACGCACACGTGGTCGTGTTGGGAAACAAACAGTACACAACTGGAAATAATAAATCTCAAAATGGAAAGTAACATGAAGAATGATGCCAAATAAGCCGAATATCAGCAAGCACAACAATATGGGGTAGATGCCGCTGATGCCGGGCGTCGGAAGCAGTGATGGCAGCAAAATATGGCCTGCCGAAGCCTCCCGAGGGGTGCACATTACAATGTGCCCCAGGTCTGGCACGACAAGGGTGCCATTGTAACACGCACCTGTGGCCAGCCCAGTGCGCATTGTAATATGGCTACAGGGAGAGCTCCGATTTCATCCGTGTCGGACACGGTGGAGGCCATGTAAAGCATATGAGGCGGTCGTTCCCGTTCATACATGTTTGCCGTAGCCAGGGGAGTCTCCGGACCCTGCATTTTGTGCCACTTGTCGATTCGTTCAATGAAGTTACGTCCCGTAATCGCACGGGGAAGAAAATATCCGTTCGGGAGTACGATCTTGTTTGCTTGATTCCTCTTGCACATACCTTTCTGTATATATTCCTCTATTTTCGGGCACTCGCGCATGTAGTGCCCGTCATTCGAGCAGAATCCGCATTTACCTTCTTCAAACGCCCCTCCTGGCCCGCGCGTTTGGTTGTTGTCCATAGGAACTTGTGCTTCTCGGTAGGCCTGTCCTTGCGGCGCCAGGGGTCTCGGGTTTTCCGTATTCCAACGCCCTTGTTCCTGGTTACGGAGATACGGACCCCGGTCCTGCTGCTGGTTTTGATATGCCGCACGCGGCTCGGGTTGCCGCTGTCGGGGGAAATCGACTTGTCTGGTGAGCCCAGCTAACGCCGTTCGCATTTCCCGCATGGAAGCCGTCATTTCCACCATCTCCTTCTTTATCACCGTGGTGTCTTCCTCCGTATCCTGGTAGAATTGACCGGATGTCCCGTCGATCGCCCATTCTGCGGCTTCGATAACGTCCTCGATTCCGTACGGGGTGTCGCTTGCCTGGCCGGGTTTCATGATTTGTAGGCGCTGCAGGACCCTGAACCTAAAGTCCGCATGTATTCCCCTCATGAACTGTTCATCTCTTTCCCTCTCCGAGATCTTGTCCTTGGATTTCAGGAAGTCCGCGATTCTTGTGAAGTTTCGCTGATATTCCCCAAAGTCGTCTTTATTGGACGGCGGTTTTTCCTGCTCTTTCCTCACGACCTCTCTAAGGTCCGACCAAGCGTATAGTTTATCCCCGTTGGATCCGGGATAAAGCTTCATAATTTCCTTTTTGAACTGGTCGAACGTCATGATTGCCGTACGCTTTCGCTTCCATAGTTCTTCATCATCAATGTTGAGATACCGGAGTGCGATGTCAATTGATTCATCGTCGGTAGTCCTTTCCGTATCCTCTCCTGTTTCCTGTACGTCCCGTAGGTACCTGAGCAGATGCCCTGGTTTCCCATCGAACGACGGAGCAGATTTACTGCCGCGCATCGGCAATGTTTTAGGTGCCATAATGCGGGGAATGTGGGGGATCTGCGGCTGGGGTTCTTGATCCGTCGATAAGCGGTCCTGCGATGGCTCGGATGAAAGAGTGAGGGAAGATGGTTCCGTAGGGGAATCGGTGGAGTACGGAAATGTGTCCTCGGTTTCTTCCTGGTCTGATAAAATCTCGGTAAGGTCCGAAAGTTCGGACTCCTGAAGGTCTATGGAAGTAGTACTTGAACTCGCTTCGGGAGCGTGTTCTATGAGATGAATTTCTTGTTGTAAGGAGCGATCTGGTTTACTCGTCCTTCTTCTTCGAGTAGGGGATGGTAACCGGACTGGTTCGAGTGGGGGAGCCTGTCTTCCTCTGCGCTGGTGACGAGTCTCCAGCGGTTAAATTCCCCCTCGCGGTAGGTACCAGTTGTGATGTTTGCTGCGTTTTCTACGTGCGCCGAGTGTATGTATCGGACGACCAGAAAGTGTTCAGCCGAGCGGGGGGAATATTGGTGTGGCTGGTTATGAGACTTTTGCCCAGCTAAGGCAAGCGTGAAAGGCGTGTGTGTGGTGTATGGGAATTATAGATGTTTCCTTCAATATCCTTCTCTCTCTGCCTCTCTCTCTCTCTTTATGTCGATAATTATATGGGGTCGTTGTTCTCCTGCCAATGTGGCTGGGTACGGCGTGTCAAGGCTCGGGGAGGACTTTATATTCGTTGTTCTCCTGCCAATGCGGCTGGGTACGGCGTGTCAAGGCTCGGGGAGGACGTTGTGCTGTTACTTGGCGAAGCTTCCGTGTAACGTACGGGATATCCAAGACGTAAGTCAAGGAGACCGTCTTTCTTATGATACGGGACTCTGGCCTATGAGCTGGCTTGTAGAGGGCAAGTTAATGTCCAATAGAGTGTGGTGATGAGCAGTGGGGGACAAGTCCTTGTAGGAGGGGACTTGTTGACCCGGGGGTTTTTTAGCTAAGAAGTGAAGTGATCTTGCTCTACTACATGCCTCGTATTTATACTGTTTCCCCCGTCCTACACTGCCTTGTTCGCTTATCCTCCTCGTGCCCGTCACGACCCCTGCTACACGCGCTACACCCTCTTTCCGTGCCCAGATTCTCTCACCCGTAAGTTCATAGTTGTTCCTCCGCATTGCCTCCGGTTTAACTCGGTCCCTGGGTGTACGGTAATTGCCCCACGTGTATCGCCTTCGGTTTTTACTTGACTTTCGGTGGTATGGGAATTGTCCGTGGTCCGTCTTTTGTTGGTTTGTTGCGTATGGATAATCTGTCCTGAATTCCCGTATTGAGTCCCGTGCTAGCGTGGTGTGTTTCGTATGGATGTTTCCTTGGTGTCCCCTGCCTAGCTCAACTGGAAAGAGCGCCAGACATTTAATCTGGAGGTTGCGAGTTCAACCCTCGCGGTAGGTATGCTTCTTTTTTATCATTGGCCTGGTGGTGTAGCTGGTAATGCGCTGCCTAATACGATCCTCGTATGGCGGAGGTCCTTGTTCGACTCAAGGTCAGGCCCTGTTGCTCGTGAGAGATGTTTTTGGCCGGTTGATAGCGCTTGTTCGTAGTATGGAGAATTTGATTGTTTTAGGTGTTTTCTTGCCTCCGCGGGAGCGATCACAAAGTGATAGCTCACACCGTACACGCCTAGACGATCGAAAGCCGGTAACCAGCTGGCAATTGAGATCACTGATGTCTGCTGCCGGTAATGGATTTACCAGCTGATTGACCAGTGGTTTCCTGGCGCGAAGTAAATCAGTGGATGCTAGCTGCCGGATCACTGGAATCCGATGGTTTCGCACCGAGCGGCCAGTATGTTCGCACGTGATCATGATCCGTGCCTCGGATATCATGATGTGAGTGATTGTGCCGATTGCCGTTCAGTTCTAAGTGTTGCCTAAGTGTGTAGAGTGCAAAGTGAACTTTACTGGCACACACCGTTCAATGTTAGTTGCTAACAATTCTTTCTTGTGAAGATTGAAACACCACACCTTCTTATATTTGCTGCTATAAACCCCAGAATGGCCACCTACTACTTGCTAAACACACAATTTGTTCTTGCAAAGTCCCTGATCGCGCGGCCATCCTGAGTGTTGCGCGCCAGCATGCCGCTATGATAAATCAATCCAATAAGGAAAAAAAATTGCTGACAGATTTATTGTTCCCCGTTTTGCTTCTCTGCTGCTTCTGGCCTACTCGCAAGCTTGGAAGAGTAACATGAGAAGACAAGGAGAGTCCCTGGTGCAGGAGCACAGAGACGAAGCAACCAGAGTATGAATTGCCTTCGCCCCTTCCCATATCCACCGTAGTGTAGTGGGTATGTGCAGAGCTTTGAGCTTTGGAGCACTTTCACGCTGTGCGTTCGATTCTTATTGCTGCCATTTCCTTTAAAACATTGCCTTCTGGGGCTGAAATCTGCCACATGCCCGACCACTGCTGAAGTAAATGCAGCCACCGGTTTTCAGTGATCTACTTGGCGCCTGGTTGCCAGGTGGTCGACAACTGAAAGCTGACGACTGATCGGCCACCTGGCATCCGGCTTTCGATCGTCTAGGCGTGTACCGTAAGGTGCGATCCTGGAGGGCTTACAGTACGGGGGTTCATATTGTACGGTTTTTTACGGTGTCTACGGCAGTACACCCAACGTCCACCATCAATAGAGACGTGTTCAATACCCAGTCTTGTTCTTTGCTCACTCACACCATCCAGTAGTAGCTTAAACCTCACGACTCAACTCCACTGTACTCACCTCCATTCCACAACTGGGCACAGTCAAGCTCGTTCTGTACATGAACACTGACTGCTTGTCAACTCTAGAAATTCGAATGCGAGGCCATCAAGTGCCGAAGACGTTCAGTCACACCGGTGGACAAAACAAACACCCTCCGAGATGCCTGGACGTGCTGTCAATGCTAAATGGGAGGGGTTGATTATTGCTACGATTTACGGCCGTACGCTCGCCGTATGCGGCCGTATGTTTACGGCCGTACGGGCTGCTCTGACGGTATACGGCCGTAGCCATACAGCAGGTCATTCTGGTCCATACAGTACGGGTACGGGAGGCCGTATGCACCGTACCGTACGCCGTATTTACGGCTACGGTGCCGATCCCTATCTTCAATGAGCCTGGCAGTATCACCGATACCAATACCAAAAGTCATAAATCGGCGAAAGGTCGAAGATTCTGTAGTGAAATTTGTAACAATCAGGCGGGTGAGGTAAAGTCTCAGAAAGAAACCTCAGTATGAGTACCCTGGGGCTAGGACAAGAGAGAGCAAACAGTCTGCAATAACGTCCGGCTGGCGTTCATGGCCTTGCTAGCTCAATCGGTAGAGCGTGTGACTTTTACGCTTACGTAATTCGGCATCACAAGGTTGTGGGTTCGACCCCCACGTAGGGCTATGTGGTTATCTTTTTAACCCATGCGACATCTGGCAATCCCAGGGATTTAAATTGGAGAGGTTGGTCAATTTTTGGATTTTTTTGCCTTGGTCCGTCTCCCATTCATGTTTACGCCAAGCTAATGCGAGGAGGACTCAATATGCGATCGCCCCTGAGTTAGAGGGCTCCGTAAAGTCAAAGAATCTTCTCAATGGGATACCAAATGACCGAGAAACGACCTTTTCCCTGAGGCGTGTATTTAGCTCAACGGGCGACGGGAGACATATTACGTGAGTCCCAGAGACAGAGGGGGAAGGCCTGCCAATATCAAAAGGCACCAAAGTCGTGAATTGAAGCACAAATGAGCGAGATACAAATTTTCTCTCCCGATCAGTCTTTTTTGATTTCCTCTTTGGGCTGTTGGCGGTGAGTTAGTCATGTGACCACCTTCCTGTGACTCCCACCTTGCTCCCACCATGGACAAGACCAAAGCCAAAGGTGCTGCTCCCGTCTACCATTAGCGCATACACTGACAAGTAGTTCTCTAGCTGTAAGGGCAAATCCTGCCCAATTCGCAGCCCTGAAGGCTGCGTACTACTCTGGTCGATCCTGGACGGCAGCAGAGTACGACAAACTGAGCTCCGAAACTGGCCTGTGCGTAACCCTCGGTGCTCCGCTGCTCGACGCCTTAGCATCTTCATAGAACCACCGCCTGGATCAAGTCGTGGGTGGTACGCTACAGAAGTTCCCAGAAAATACAGCACAATCAGGCGACGGCAGTGAAACGTGAAGCGAGCTCAGAGCCCGACGGGGCACCACCGCCAAAGAAAAGAGGCCGCGTCGCTCGAAAATCCCAACCCACTATCCCACCTGCCGACCTGCCTCCTCCAGACGATTCTTACGTTCCTCCCAGCAAAGCCACTAGCTCTCCGATTCCTACTCCGACTCCCGACCAACCGGCTGCCTCCAGCTCAACGTCCGGCCGCCGACCAGTCCCTCTCTTGCAATATGCAGCACCTGGCAGTCATGCCGACTATTACGGACTCCCTCAGTATTTCCCGCCGCCCCAGAGTTCCCAGCAGCCAAAGTCCGCCTCTCCACTGTTCTCTTCACACCCCCAGCACGTCATCCATCAGCATTCTTCTGTCGTCTCCCTCAATAGCATCCCCCAACCGCGAATTACCCAGCAGCCCAAGTCTTCCGCTTCGCGCCCTCAATCCTCTCTCTCTCAGCCTTTGCCTGTCGTCTCCCCCACTGGCCGCGCACCATCACGAATCACCCAGCAGCACAAGTCTTCCGCTACGCGCCGCGAGAACTTTAGCTACCCTCGTGCCCCTGTCGCCAATGGCCCCATGCTTCTTCCCCGCCAATCGCAATTCCCCGAAAATATCGATCCTGTGTCGCATTCTGTTCCCGAAGTACCCTCGCTGAACATGTGGGCCACGCCATTCAACCCGATGGCCTACCGTCCCACAGTCACCTCCAGCACTTCTTTCGTTTCTTCTTCCCGGATTACTCGGAAACCAATTGCGCAGACTCCACTACGCACGACGCTCTTCCCCGGAATTCCACTTCCTCCTCCTCCGAATGGAGCGGCCTCCCCTCCGAAACAGATTACGCCAGTCCGCGACTTGCAGCCGTTACCGTTCGAATCCCCCTTCTGCCCGTACAAGCACACAGACTCTTCTCTCCTTCGCTCCGATTATCATATCGACAATTACGACTCCCCGCCCACCATGAACACACCGATAGATGACCACTTTCTATTCAGCAGCGTAATGACTTGCGTTATACTTGTTTCGTGCATTGACTCTGCTTTCAGATGCTCAATCTCACTCCCGAAGCCCATGTTACGGCGCACAAATCCACGCCAGTAGTTTCGCCTGAACCGGACGTGTGGGACATCGGGCAAACGGCTTTGAAACACATCAGCGTCTTGCGGGACTCAGATGGTGCCCTTCGGAGCATGCCAGTCGACGAAATGCGCGATCGACTGTTAGCCCAAGAACTCGCGAGCAGCGACCCGTTCCAGGCTGCGATGGGGTTGGTGTTCATGTCGAGGACCGGGTTGAAGTGGGAATAAGATTGCGCCGTTGACTTGTGTTACAATGTGTAGACTGTATCGTCCTTCGCTTTGATTCTGTACCGCTTGTTGTGAAATCTAGATTCATCGTTGACTGTTGTTTGCCAGTGCTGCTTACCATAACTTGAACCCGACTGAACCCGACCATGGCCTCCCGTTTGAGCCGACAGGCTTTCTCGACGACCGCTCGCGCTACGCGGTCCGTGCGCTCCAATGTACACGCACCCAGGCGTTTTATGAGCGCGGACGCGGCCGCCCACCACGAGCCATTCAAGCCAAAATCCGACTTGCCTTGGATTGTGCGTCACGACTTGTAGCCGCTCACGACTAGCTCTTAACGCCTTACCCACAGATCGGTGCCGTGGCCATTGCTGGCCCGACAGTGCGTTTCGTCTATGGCGGTTCCGTGACAATGAACTGAGTTGTGCATGCACCACAGCTAGCATATCTGCTCCGGGACACCTTTGCTATCAAGCAGAAAATCGCTGCAGGCCACCACGGCCATGACTCGCACGACGCGCATGCCGTGCATGCAGAAGCGCACGAAGAACATGCTGCCCCCGCGGTGATGAAGGATGACGAAGGGACGGAGGCGGATGTTTCGAGCGCGACCGACGCTGCTACCGTACGTTTACCGCTTCTCCCGCAAGTCCCTGGTTGACCTGTTCATCTCAGGCTGCCGATGTGCCCCAGGCGTCTGGTGCAGTAAGCATACCGTCCCGTCGTGTGCGTTGACTTTTCACCCATTTTTCATTGCAGACCACTGAAGAGTCGACCTCCGATGCTGTGAGTTCCACTGTGTGACACGCGCGCGCATCTCCTCAACTGCTTTTGCCAGGCTGCCGAGCCGCCCAAGGACGAGGAGAAGGAGAGCAAATGAAGGTGGTAGAAAGTTACGTATGTACCAAGCACTTCCCAAATAGACGGGGAAATTGTTGACCATCTTTAGCAGGCCATAGTAGAGCGGCGCAGGCAGGACTGCACAATAAATATCGTTGTGAAAGACAATTCGCCGATTCGCACTCGGTTACCGCTCCCCTTTTTTTCCTTGAATTCTTGAAGTCCTCTTCTCTGAGACTGTCTTGACGCCCTGAGTGCGCTATGTGTGGGCCTTTCAGCCGATTGACAGCCCAGTCGCGGACAGTTCTCTTGGGAAGGATTCTGACATCAGTTGAAAGCTGTCGCATTGGGTATCATTCCCGCGACCTGACTTGACGATTGAAGAGGCGCCCGCAATGCCCCATATCCTCTTATCATCCATCAGACCTGTATAGCCATATAGGCTATATATATTCTTTACAGCTTTTGCGCACCTTCTCGGTATCCTCAGTTCGTCTTCCACCTCCATGTCGCTTGTACAGACGTTACACCCTGTCGACGCCCCCAGCCCCTCGGACGATTCTCCCAATGGATCTTCCAAGCGAACCTTCACCGATTCCTCCACTAGGTGGAGCGCGGGTCTCCAATTTCCAGGCATTCAGCTTCCGCCCGTTGCAGAGGTCGTCCTCCCCCACGCCCTTGATCTTCGTCCAGTTCCATCCATTCAAGAAAGCCTAGTTTCTCAGTCCGCGGATTCGCAAAGAACAACGACCGATACGTCAACTATTTGGGGCCCAGGCACGTTATCTGGAAGAGCTCTGATCGCTCTCGGAGAGGCTACGCTACGTGTGATCGACGCCCTCACAATCCGCCGCAGACTTGCGACCATTCGTTTACGTGCCCCTTACTTGACAAAATCCATGTGCGAGGACTTATTGGAGCTCTGTCGGTAGGCTTGCTTTCCTGTCCTCATCATTCTCCCCGTGAAGCACAAGTCGTTGACTGGGTATTAAATTCAGACCAGAGATGTACTCCATCAGAATCGCGAAGCAAGCGGTTGGCCTAACGTTGGCGCACATCTGCGCTGGCGCCGAATCTTCGTTGTACATGTTCGCGGCCGCTTTCTGTAGATGGCCGCAGCGAGAAGCACGTTTGATCCTTTTGGAACTCGTTCGCTCAACATCGTGAGCGTTTTCCAGTCACTTCGATACGGTCAACCTGACCCGCTGAGTTTCCAGCCTAGTTGATCGTTCTCGCGGTTGGGACTTGAAGATATTGTACGACTTTCTCATGGTCATAACCCAGGTCAAGGAGGGATGGAGGAAAACCGTCACGGAAGCTGCGATTTTACTTAACCAGACATCCCCGCCAGTTGTTGCCCACCCAATCCAATTTCTCGCGGGTGAGGTAACTGCGGGCCTGCCCGAGTCACCTTTATCCAGCCTGCAGGACCTGTATTCTGTAGATATCCGATCGAAGACGTGGATTGCGCTTCTGAAGCGCGATTTGCCCTTACGGGATAGGATCGCCGAAATCGAATATATTCTGCAAGAGCCGCAGAGTTCGTCGGGGGCCCAACTAGTTGATGCTCTTGCGGATCTTTCTGTTTTCCAGGGGTGAGTCAGGATTTCCGTCAACAAATACCTGTTCTTTGTCTCAATCTTACTGAGCAGATCGCATTTTGACTTGGATACCCAATCTTCCGCCTTGGCATGTGTGCAATCTGTCACCGTTCCTCAGTGGCGGAGCATCCAAGAACACCTTGAATTGCCTGTTGATGCGTTCGATCCCAATTTTGTTTGGGATACAGACATCATGTATGTTTTCTGACGATTCTTAGTTTTCTTCGCATATCCTCATTCCGTGCCGGGATACAAGCGCCTGCATACACGCTCTAGTACTTCTCCGAAAACCATTCTGCCCGTGAATGTCCCTCCCCCTCCCCTGATTTGCGTTGACAGATGGGCCAGACCTGCCAGTATCAAAAGTGACCAAATATTGGTTGATACAGCGACCTCGATGATACTTGGAAAGATATGTCTGGCCTCCGACAATGACAGAATCCGTTGTGCATTGGGCATTTGCAAATTATCCGGAGATCAAGTCCAGGAAACCTTG